CTAGTATTGGAGCTGCATGATTGTTATTTTGTACCTGCCATCAGTAGGAACATCATATCGATTTCATGCTTAGACTCAGATGGTTTCAGATTTGTTATTGAGAACAAATGTCTGTCCATTTATAGAGGCGATTTATTCTATGGTAAAGGTTACCAGTTTAATGGCCTTTATATTTTGGAAGATGAACCATCTGGATACAGGTCGATCTATAATGTTAGTACCAAGCGGTTTAAGCCGAACGACTTAAACCCGACCTATCTCTGGCATTGTCGACTTGGCCACATCAACGAGAAACGCATAGCGAAGCTTCATTCTGATGGACTTCTTGATTCTTTTGATTATGAGTCAATTGAATCGTGCGATTCTTGTTTGATGGGAAAGATGACAAAATCTCCTTTTTCTGGAAAAGGAGAACGGGCTACAGAGTTGCTAGAACTCATACATAGTGATGTATGCGGTCCTATGAGCTCTCCCGCTAGAGGAGGTTATCTGTACTTTGTTACGTTTACTGATGATTTCAGTAGGTACGGTTATGTCTACTTGATGAGACATAAGTCTGAAACGCTTGAATTGTTCAAGATTTTCAGAAACGAGGTACAGAACCAACTTGGCAAGACGATCAAGTTGCTTCGATCTGATCGAGGTGGCGAGTATATGAGCCAAGAGTTCACTGACTATCTGGCAGATTGTGGGATTGTCTCACAGCTGACTCCACCTGGAACGCCACAGTGGAATGGCGTGTCTGAGAGGAGGAACCGGACCCTATTAGATATGGTACGGTCTATGATGAGTCAGGTCGATCTTCCTAAATCCTTCTGGGGATATGCTTTGGAAACAACAGCGCTTATACTGAACAACTGTCCAACAAAGTCGGTTCAGAAGACTCCATATGAGATATGGACTGGGAAGCGTCCCAGGTTAGCATTCATGAAGATTTGGGGATGTGACGTTTACGTGAAACGTCTGGCTTCTGATAAGCTATCCGCCAAGTCTGATAAATGCATATTTGTGGGTTACCCTAAGGAAACTAAAGGGTACTGGTTCTACAACCCATCTGAGAACAAAGTGTTTGTTGCTCGGAATGGATCTTTCTTGGAGAGAGAGTTCGTCTCCAAGAGAGTCAGTGGGAGTAGAATAGATCTCGAAGAAGTTCGAGAACCACAAATAGTCGAAGAACCGAACGAACAGGTCGAAACAGTCCAACCTGTATCACGAGTTGTTGAGACAGCACCTCCTAGTGAACCTCGGAGATCTGGTAGAATTCACCAAGAGCCTACAAGATATGGTTTTCTTGTGACTGGAAACAACGAACTCATGTTGTTAGAACATGACGAGCCTACGTCGTATTCAGAGGCTGTGGCGAGTTCCGATTCCGAGAAATGGCACCAGACCATGGAGTTTTAGATGCAATCCATGTACGACAACAAAGTGTGGACTTTGGTCGATTCATTCAATGGTATTAAAACCATTGGATGCAAGTAGGTTTTCAAGAAGAAAAACGACATGGATGGCATCGTGCATACCTATAAGGCACGACTCGTAGCGAAAGGGTTTCGGCAGATTCATGGTATAGACTATGAAGAAACCTTTTCACCAGTCGTGATGCTTAAATCCATACGGATTCTGCTGGCCATAGCTGCGTATTATGACTACGAGATATGGCAGATGGACGTCAAGACCACATTCCTTAACCGGGAATTTGCTCGAGGATGTGTACATAACACAACCCGAGGGTTTTGTTGATCCTAAGAGTCCGAGGAAGGTGTGCAAGCTTCAAAGATCCATTTATGGACTGAAACAGGCTTCGAGGAGCTGGAATCTTCGATTTGACGAGGCAGTCAAAACGTTTGGCTTCCTGCAAAACGAAGATGAACCATGCGTTTACAAGAAGGTCAGTGGGAGCGCAGTGGTCTTCCTTGTGCTTTATGTAGATGATATATTGCTCATCGGAAATGACATTCCTACCTTGCAAGGAGTAAAATCCTGGCTAGGATCGGTCTTTTCGATGAAGGACTTAGGAGAAGCCGCCTATATTCTAGGAATCAAGATCTATAGAGATAGATCGAGAAGGCTTCTTGGTCTAAGTCAGAGTACATACATTGACAAGGTCTTGAATCGGTTCAAGATGCAAGACTCCAAGAGGGGTGCCTTGCCAATGGGACATGACGTAGCTCTTAGCAAGACTCAGTGTCCAAACACACAGGATGAGCAAGAGTGCATGAGTAGGATTCCATATGCCTCGGCAATTGGATCCATCATGTACGCCATGTTGTGTACTCGCCCAGACGTATCATATGCATTAAGCATGACTAGTAGATATCAATCTACACCAGGTGAGGCTCACTGGATTGCAGTCAAGAACATCCTTAAGTACTTGAGAAGGACTAAGGATTTGTTCTTGGTGTATGGCGGATTGGAAGACGAGCTCGCTATAAAGGGTTATACCGATGCTAGTTTCCAAACCGACAGAGATGACTTCAGATCGCAGTCAGGTTATGTTTTCTGCCTGAACGGTGGGGCTATCAGTTGGAAGAGTTCCAAACAGCCAACCGTGGCAGATTCGACTACAGAAGCCGAGTACATAGCAGCATCGGATGCAGCTAAAGAAGCTGTTTGGATCAGGAAATTTGTGGGAGACCTGGGGGTCATTCCTAGCGTTGCAGATCCCATTGACTTGTACTGTGACAACAATGGTGCGATTGCGCAAGCTAAGGAACCCCGGTCACACCAGAGATCCAAACACATACTCAGGCGATTTCACTTGATCAGAGAAATCATCGACAGAGGAGACGTGAAGATAAGCAGAGTGTCGACAGATGATAATATTACCGACCCATTGACGAAGCCTCTCCCTTCATCAAAACATGATGGTCATGTTAAGGGTATGAGGATTAGATGCTT